AGATCATTAAAAACAAAACATCGATTGACAATTGACAGTTTGCAGTTGATTTATTTATTGTATCTGATGTTTGCTGTTTCAGTATGTAAGTGAACTATGAACCAAATGAAAAGTTTGGGAAATTTCCAAGAACATAAAAACAACAAAAGTAAAGAATCAAAACACTTTACACTCTAGGAAAACAAATACTTACCAAAAGCATTTCTAGGAATGGCTGCCTTTGCTATTGTGTCACAGCTTCCTGGAGCAAAAGCAAAATTGTCAACTTCTACCAGTTTGTGGAACTGTCCCAAAACAGCTTCAACAATTATCTATGAATAAAAAGTAAGTGGCCTAGACAAATTGACAAAGTTTAACTTATAGTTGTATAAATATGTGTAAGTTCCGTACCCTAGATAGACCCATGGTAAAATTAACTGTGACTTGGCCTTTTTTCCACTTGTTTCCTTGATCACCTCTTAACGACCACAGTAAAACATTGTAACCATTCTGAAAATATTCTTGGTAGATATTTAACGTCAGAGAATAACTGCGATGCATGAAGTACGAAAATGAAAAACACACGGCAGATTCGTTGCGATAATTTCCCACCAACCGAACTTTGCCTGATGAGCTGATTCTTATTCCAGAATAAAGATATCGTCCTATAACACACGACGAAATGTAAGATATGTGTAAAGATTTGGTTTTTGTCTTAATTTATCTTTGTCGTTTCATCAATTTCTCATAAGTACTGCCAGAAGTAATAATAGCTATACATGAAAAAATTTCGTCAATTCTGATTGCTTTAGAACAGTACAATTTTTAGTAAACACCAAATAAAAAAAAACCCAACAAAATACCAGTTCAAATTTCTTTCTAAAAGTGCTCCTGATTGGTTAGTTAAACAAAGAAATAGTCATAAGAACAAAAGAAAATGAAGCAGTTCAAAGGCGGGAAAGTGAAATTATTGTAAACAAAAGCAATTACAATGATTGGGATAAGTTTTAAGTAGATATTAGTTGCTATTGAGTCTACCGTTCAGCATTTGCAAAATATTTCACTCCAAAAATATAAACACTGCTTAAAGTAGAGACTTTGTTTTGACTGCATGTGTAGAAGTTATAGTGTTTTTTAAAAGTATCTTATGGAATTGGAAAATACGAGCCGGTCGATATTTATAATTCGCCGTCTGAAATGCACGCACGCTGAAGTTAAAAATCAACAGAATTAAGAAATTTTTTCATGTTTATTATCAAGCCCTTAATAATCGAGCTTAAGGTCTTTTCGGAGAATTACCGGACCGATGTCTTTTTGTGCAGGTCGATTAAAATGGTCGATTATGGGAAAATAATGGACCAGCAAAAATGTTTCTGAGCCAATGAAAGCATGCCATTTTGCCGGAAGTGATGCTTGCCATATAAAAATTATTTATAATTTACATGAAAAAATGTCTCAATTCTGTTGACTTTCAACTTCAGCGTACGCACATTAATTCAGCCGGCAAGTTCAACCATCGATCGACCTACTCTTATTTTTCAAATCCATCGGATATTACTTTTCACATTACCATAGCTTCCACACACACCGCTAGAACAAGGTATCTACTTTTAGCAGTGTTCATATTTGTATCCAGAAACATCTTTAAAACGGTGAACTTCAAACTCGCCAAAGAAAATTTACTTAAAACTTACGCCAGCCATAGTAAGTACTTTGTTTACATTAATTTAAATTTCCCGCCTTTAAATTGTTTTATTTTGATTGGCTCTTAGACCACTTCTTTGTTTCAGTAGCCAATCAGGAGCATACTGGTATTTACGATAAATTGCACTGCTCTTAACCAATCAGAATTGAGAAATTTTTTATGTATATTATTAGCTATAAAACACTGCTATCTTACCAATACTGGAGCCTGTGGCATCATAACGGGGTAACAAATTTCGTAAGTGTGATGTACTTAGTTTCCAGTCAAAGTCATCATCGCCTTCCACGTTGCGCCATGGACATACAGTCGTTCCCAATCCCTTTTGAAAATCACCGCTTTCGACTGAATGAAAAAGAAATCGACGCGCAACTTAAATAAGGGATAAAAACGGTAACTTTAGCTATTGTAAAGAATATGGGAAAATGTAGATAACGAAGATTAAAAATGCTTTTTAATGAATAGAAGTAGACTGAATTTGTAACTTATACGTGCATTTTGATGAAAAGATTACTCATCAACTCTGCTCTAGATACAAATTTTACAACTGCGATATATCTCGAAGCATATTAGTATATAAATATTTCTCATATTCAATAATTCAAAAATCATGAATAAAAAGTTTCGAACTCCAGCTCCATAAAATTGATAAAGAAAATCGACAACATGCAGTGTCTTCATTTCAATGTGCCAAACTGAATTGTGGAAAGACGTGCAAAAAAATACAAATTTTTACAATTTAACATACGACATATCAGTACATTATCAAATCTAGCCATGCAAACACGGTATGTACAACTTATTAGGTTGGAGTTTGTTCCTTTCAATAGAAAAACAAAGAAATAACAAAAAAATATTTTATTTATAAATATTTATTTTTTAGCAATGAAATAGTACTACTGATGTTAAAAATTACCTTTTATACATTCTCGTTCACTCACTGCACCAACATTGATGGTACCATCATTACAGGTAAGACAACGAGTTTGATTTGGAAATGGTTGATATGTATATATGGGACATTTTCCACATTTCTTATTTTGAAAGGAAAAGAAGGAACCAATGGAACAATCTAAAAAGAAGATTATTGAAAATGAAACGTCCATTGAAAATTGACAGTTTACAGTTGATTTATTTATTGTATTCAATGTTTCCAGTCTCATTATGTAAGTAAACTATAAACAAATTGAAAAGTTAGAAAATTTCCAAGAACATAAAAACAACAAAAGTGCCCAATCAAAACACTTTACTTTCCTACAAAACAAATACTCACCGATAGCATTACTAGGAATGGCTAACTTTGGTATTGTGTCACAGCTTCCTTGAGCAAAAGCAAGATTGTCGAGAGCTACAAAGTTGTTGTATTGCCTCAAAACAGCTTCAACGATTAACTATGAGCAAAAAGTAAGTGCTTGGATAAATTGACAAAGTTTAAAGTTGAATAAGTATGTCTAAGTTGCGTACCCTAGATAGACCCATGGTAAAATTAACTGTGACTTGGCCTTTTTTCCACTTAGTTCCTTGATCACCACTTAATGACTACAGTAAAAGATTGTATCCATTGTGAAAATATTCTTTATAGATATTCAATATCTCATTATAACTGCCATTCATGCGATACGAAAATGAAAAACAGACGGGAGAGTCGTTGCGATAATTTCCCGCCAACCAAGTTTTTTCTTGTAAATCGTATCTTGATACGGAATAAAGATATCGTCCTGCAACACATAAAGAAATGTAAGATATATGTAGACTATATATATAAAGAATAAAGATATTGCCCTACAAACACATAAAGAAATGTAAGATGTATGTAGACTATATATATAAAGAATAAAGATATTGTCCTACAACACATAAAGAAATGTAAGATGTATGTAGACTGTATATATAAAGAATAAACATATTGTCCGACAACACATGAAGAAATGTAAGATATATGTAGACTATATATATAAAGAATAAAGATATCGCCCTACAAACACATAAAGAAATGTAAGATGTATGTAGACTATATATATAAAGAATAAAGATATTGTCCTACAACACATAAAGAAATGTAAGATATATGTAGACTATATATATAAAGAATAAACATATTGTCCGACAACACATGAAGAGATGAAAGATATATGTAGACTATATATATAAAGAATAAAGATATCGTCCTACAAACACATAAAGAAATGTAAGATATATGTACATTCGCATCTTAGACACCGTTCACACTCCTTAGGCCCTTAAGCTCAAACGAAAAACTAAATATTCTCTATCATTTTGTCTGGTGCAATTTAAGCAGTTATTTACTATAAATCACAGCCAAATCACCAGCACTAGAACCTGTGGCATCATAGAGCGGTGCTTCTGACGGTAAGTATAATGTACTAAGTTCCCACTCAAAGTCATCATCGCCATCCACGTTGCGCCATGGACATACAGTCGTTCCCAATCCCTTTTGAAAATCACTTCTTTTAACTGAGTGAAAAGGAAATAATTTTAACAATAACAATAGTCTGAATCATAATAATTCTTTATTATAATCAATTTTAATTATGTATACTTATATATTGAGTAAAATTAGGAGAAACGTTAATAACAGCTTTTAGTTGAGTGCTTATCTTTTAAAAAACATTTGTTTTGATTAGATAAATTAAGAAACAAATTCACCTTTGTAACTTTTACCAGTTTAAAAAAAAAGATTATATAAGTTTACTTTATCAACTCTCATGACTCAAAAACAAATTTTACCATGCAATTAAACTGCAACGTATAATTTGGAGTTTATCAAACTTAGTCTTGGTTTTATCTTTGTTGCTTCAACAGTTTGTTTAAAGTATTTCCTGGACGTGTTATGTATGGATAATCATGGCTCAAATCAACACAAATATTTCTGATATTCAACAATTGAAAAATCATGAATAAAAAGTTTCAAACTACTGCTTTATAAAATTAATAAAGAAAATCAACAACATGCAATGTTTTCATTTCTATCGTCACAGAATGAAGCGTGGAAAGACATGCAAGGAAAAACGGATTTTTATTACATAGTCATGTGACATATCAGCATAATATTGAATCTAGTCGTGCAAACAAAGTATTTTTACGTCAGAGATTATTCCTTTCAATAGAAAAACTAAGGAATAGTTAAAAGTATTTAGCAATACATCTATATTATATTGATTTTTTAGCACAGAAATGTTACTCACAACGTCAAAGTTTACCTTTAATACATTCTTGTTCACTTACAGCACCAACATTGATGGTACCTTTACCATCATCACAGATAATACAACGAGTTTGATTTGGGTATGGTTGATATGTAGAGGTGGGACATTTTTCACATTTCTTACTTTGAAACGAAAATAATGAACCAATGGAACAATCTATATAAAAAAGATTATTAAGAATAAAACATTGATTGGCAATTGGCAGTTTACAGCTGATTAATTCATTGTCTTCAATGTTTCCTGTCTCATTATGTAAGTTAACTATGAGCAAAACATGAACATATAAACAACAAAAGTGACCAATCAAACACTCCACACTCCTACAAAACAAATGCTTACCATAAACATTTCTAGGAATGGCCACCTTTGGTATTGTGTCACAGCTTCCTGGAGCAAAAGCAAGATTGTCAAGAGATGTAGAGCTGCTGTCATCTGTAACGCTTTCAATTATCAACTATTAAAGTGAAAATAAATAAACTAGGAATCATAAGTTGATAAAATTTAGTCAAGTCGTATGAATATATCTAAGTTACGTACCCTAGATAGACCCATGGTAAAATTAACTGTGACTTGGCCTTTTTTCCACTTGATTCCTTGATTACCACTTAATGACCACATTAAAAGATTGTATCCATTGTGAAAATATTCATGGTAGATATTCAATGTTCCAAAATAACTGCGATGCATGTAATACGAAAAAGAAAAACACATGACAGAGTTGTTGCTATAATTTCCCACCAACCAAGCTTTGCCTGGTAAACGGTATCGCTCTTCAGCATACACATATTGTCCTACAATAAACAAATAACTAATATGTAGATGTTGACCAAATATTTAATAAACGAAAACTTTGTATTTCTTAATAAAGGATTACGTCAAGTTTGCCAGATCAACCATCATAATATTGCTTGTAGAAGAGTTGTAGACTGTTTATGGCCCACAAAATACATTATGATTTAATGTTAAGATTTTGTAAAATCTTTTCCGAAAGTTTTCTTCTATTTATTTATGATTTAAAATTTATCGTTCAATAAATTCAATAAACAAATTACAAGAGAGAAGTAACATTTTAAAGGACCATAATATAAAAATAACACATCATTTTTTTATTTTAATTCAAAGTAAATTTATTTTATCATAACTTAAATGAAGTATATGTAGTTTAGACTGGGCAAAATATTCATAACGTCAGACTTCATGGACAAAATATTCATAACGTCAGACTTCATGGACAAAAAACTAAATTGTTGATAACAAATATTTAAAGTCTAATTTTCTCATCTTTGAAGATAAAACTTTACTAATTATTCTCCATCATTTTGTCTGTTGCATTTTAAGCAGTTCAAGTTACAAAACTTCAATAGTATAAATCTCTGCCAACTTACCAATACTGGAGCCTGTGGCATCATGGCGTGGAGTCCCAGATGGGTAGTATGATGTACTAAGTTCCCAGTCGAAGTTATCATAGCCTTCCACGTTGCGCCATGGACATACAGTCGTTCCCAGTCCCTTTTGAAAATCACAACTTTCGACTGAATGAAAAAGAAATCAAAATCAACAGCCATTTTAGTTGTTAAATAACCTAAATACCTTTGCATGAAACAAATATACACCACACAAGACAACGATTTTCAAGCAACTTTATGTTCAAATGCAAAAGTTTGAATGATAATTAAAAGTATCATAAACTTTAAGACATACAAATGATTTTGCTTTTTATATAATTATCAATTCTTGTTTGTTTTTTTTGCAACATTTGATGAAAATTCAGAAGAAAAATTTGAAATTGCTATGAAAGATTTCCAGTTCCCGAAGTCGTGGACACAGATATTTTTAATATCCACTAAATTTATAGCAAAATCTACCAAACTACTTCATAACATTCAGCTTTACTGGCTAGAATTAAGATCATTCTAAACTTAATATATTTGTAAAACCTTTAAAATTGGTAGAGAGTAAAACATTCTACCTAAGTTCGCAGCTTAATAACGCAAAAATAATGGTAATTTTAACCATTAACAATATGGCAAATGGTTCATTATGAAGGTTGAAAATGCCTTTTGTGGAATGTAAGTAGACTGTCTTTGTAACTTTTACGAATATTTTGAATAAAATATTATGTGCGTTTAGCTTATTAATTCGTACTAAAATGGAGTGTGGAATGATGTGTAAGAAATATGGATTTTTACAATATAACATGTGACATATCAGTATATTATCATATATCGCCGTTGCAAACAAGGTATTTTTACGTTGGAGATTATTCCTTTTGATGGAAAAACTAAGAAAAGATAAAAATACGCATAAATTTATAATACACTGGTTTTCCAGGAGTGAAGTTTAACTCACAATGTGAAAAATTACCTTTTATACATTCTCGTTCACTTACTGCACCAACATTGATGGTACCTTTACCATCATTACAGGTAAGACAACGAGTTTGATTTGCATATGGTTGATAGGTAAAGATGGGACATTTTTCACATTTCTTACTTTGAAACGAAAAGAATGAACCAATGGAACAATCTATAAAGAAGATTATTAAAAATAAAACCTTGATTTACAATTGACAGTTTATAGTTGTTTTATTTATTGCATTCAATGTTTTCATTCTCATAATACAAAATGACCAATCAAAACACTTCACACTCCTACAAAACAAATACTTACCAAAAGCATTTCTAGGAATGGCTAACTTTGGTATTGTGTCACAGCTTCCTGGAGCAAAAGTAAGATTGTCGATAGCTACAAAGTTGTTGTATTGTCTCAAAATAGCTTCAACGATTAACTATAAACAAAAAATAACTGGCTTAAACAAATTAACAAAGTTTAAAGTTGAATAAATATGTCTAAGTTCCGTACCCTAGATAGACCCATGGTAAAATTAACTGTGACTTTGCCTTTTTTCCACTTAGTTCCTTGATCACCACTTAATGACCACAATAAAAGATTGTATCCATTGTTAAAATATTCTTGGTAGATATTCAATGTCTCGTTATAACTGCGATACATGTAATACGAAAATGAAAAACACACGAGAGAGTCGTTGCGATAATTTCCAACCAACAGAGCTTTGCCTGGTGAACTGTATATTGTTTGAGAATAAAGATATCGTCCTACAACATACAAGGAAATGCAAGATGTAGCTGTGTAAACTAAATATATAAAGAATGTGTATTTGTTGTTAAATCATTTATCGAAGATTGCTTGATCAGCCCTTATACAATATAACGCTCATGAAAACAGTTTTGCTGTTTAATTTAGGTTTCAGTTTATCTCTGTTGTTTTAGTAATTTCTCTAAAACATTTGCTTCATTTTATTGATGTTGCATAACATTCTCACCAAAAGATATGATTTGCAATTTATTAGAATGTATATAGCAAGTACAGTTCAAAAATATGAGTGAACTTTCAAAAGCCGCAATATACATTGGTTTAAAACATTGCACAGTTTTTAACAAGTCAATGAGATGTACTTTTGTAAACAAACACTCTTTAATAAAAAAGTCAGTGAACAGACTGTATAAAACAGACGTTTAAGGACGTGTTGCTCATTAAAACAAAGGAGTGTAGTCATCAGAGTATTCCCAATTTATTCAGTTTAAAACAACGAAATGCACGCGGAAATCCGGAAACACTCGCAGTCTGCGAAATTCCCCATACTTTTTTCAGCTGTCATGCGAGTGGACGAAACGTTTCTCGCACGCGTTAGAAAATTGTTTTGTGTTCCTCATTGCGAAAAGATTTTTTACGCGGCCTAAGCCATTTGAAAATGTCAGTATTTATATAATAAGATATAATAGATACGTACATGATTTTTGATAATGCTGTGTTGATCTTACTCATTCGCCATTATTGCTTTCATATAGGAATTTAAACGTATATATCGCCACAAGCATTAAGTTGCTGCACAGCTTCTTCTATCGCGCGTATATATTTTGTATCCTCGTATTGTTTGTAAAAGTATAGCTTCAGTCTTTGTATAGTGGAAGAATTATACTTTATCACTCCTAGTCATTAAACTTATAAATACATGAAACGCTACCTGAAGCAAATTATTGAAGCCAAATTTTACACCCACACACGCGTATTTAGTGCTTAGAGATTCTCTCGCGAAATGAAAATTGATTGAATCTCGCGTGTCTGTGTGTAAGATTTGGCTTCAAAAAATTACCAGGCTTTTCTCTTACGGGTAGCGTTCCATGTATTTTAGTTCAATGCTCCTAGTAGCAGTCGCCAAATTGTAACAGCGCAGTGCATTTTGGGTTAAAAAAAGCATCTACTCGTGCCCTTCAAGAGCACTGATCTGAAAATAGACTGAATAAAGCACTCCGCTATTTCTGTGAAGCCAGAGCCGCCATACTGGAAGGTCCCACTTGTTACGAAAAAATAATAATAACACTAATCATAATCATATTTCTACAAGATCTGCTATGTTTATACATAGCTTTAAGTTCCAAAAATAACAGAAATACGTCATCATTAAAGCTCTGCTGTATATTAAACTTGGGTTTCACTCCTGGAATGGGGCCTAGTAATCGGATGATGAAAATTTGGACGCCCAATTACTTTGGCTTTCACTATTGATTGGCCATTGTATTGCAACGCGCTATCTAGTTTATTATACGTATCTATGCTCCAGAGCACGAGTAATACGATTACGTAGTAACCATGCAGAGTTAATACTATTAAAACAGAGAGTGCAGACAGGGAACGAGGAACATATATCGCATGCTTCTTATACTCATGTACCGCCAAGCTGTCACAATCGACAAGTTACATTGGAGGACAGTAAACAGTTTTTTTGCTTTTCTTCTACTGGATGGATCATGAAACACAGTATGCGGACAGATGGAGGTAAGGTTTTCAATGATTGAAATCACAACTCAACTCCGTCTGCATCTCCTAACCGAGCTATCTTGGTTCCATGTATAAAAAGTAAATATTACTTGGAATTTTAATACAGAGTGACATTCTCACGCAGCATGGCGCCAAACGTTTCGTAAACATTGTCATTTAACACAACAAAGCGATCAGCTAATTCGCTCAGTGTTGCAAAAGATCAAACCAGATTCTTATTTTGAAACTCGAAGTCTCCCTTTACACAAATAAAAAAACCTCGTGTTTCAGAACTTACCAAACGTTCGGGAATAGTGGACAGCCCAGTTGTAATCATCAACTCTCTCAACATTGTACCATGAACATAAATTCGTACCCAGGCCATGTTCAAAGTCACAGACTTTTGCGTCAACACTCGCTGTAAGTAAAAATGCAAGAAATCAACTAAGGCAAGTTATATTTCAATACAACATTGAAAGAAGAGTTTTTGTTTCATTCGTACGGCTGGTTTTCACTGGCTACGTAAGCGCAAACGTGTAATTTTCAGCATTATTGGGAAAAATACATACGATAAACGCCGACGAACTTCTGTTCTTAGTATTACAATTACTTTGTAAGCAAATTCCAGGCTTTAAGGCACTTTCTTTCATTCTTACATACCAACGTCACACGAAATATATTTGACAGAGAAGACGGTTAGGAAATAAATCAGTTATTACTTTAAGCATTACTTAAAGAGTACAAAAACAAAAGCTCGGTAATGT